GCCAAGGAAAAGCCAGTCCAAATATCTCCAAATTTGAGGGTCCATATATGTTATGTAATCTGCTGTCCTGCTCAGCTATTTAGCTTGAGCCCATTTCTGTTGAGTACTGCAGACCACATCTGATGTAATGCAATATCCTCATCTGGGGCAATAACCTACTGGAGGGAACAACAGCTTGAGACTCCTTTTAAGGGTGAGGATGGATTATATTTAAAAATAGCGTAACACTTTAGCTGTTATTGTTTTCTTGTGATTTGTACATAGTTCGGTTGTAATGAAGGACTATTTAGCTACTCACACTCTAGCAAAATACTTGAACAGGAAAGTGAGGCAGTAAAATGTGTTTCAACCTCATGAACAAGATATTGAGGCACCCTTATCTGAACTGTGCACAACACATGGCTTTGCAGAGACAATGCGGGTTTTGTATATATGTTCTAGGATTAAGGATAGGAAGGCACCATGCTCTACACATGCACAAAGTACCAGCCCACTGCCATGTTGTTGTTAGATTTTTGTTTTGGTTTCTGCTCATAATGGAGGTTTTGGTGCTGATAAGCACACATGGGTGGGGAAGGCAATTAGATTCTGTTTGTGGTCGCCCAACATACTCCTAGATTGTCAGAGAAAACAGGGTGGCCTTGGCACAAACCGTTTCCCCCAGGTTTTGTGTTTGAATTAAAAAAATAGAATCTGAAGAATGTGATGGAAGACTCCGCTGCTAATACTGTATACCAGTCAAGCCTATGGGTCTATTACTGCAGCAGAGACAATGCACAAGTTACTTGATTTCCGTTATATGAAGTTTTATTTGCAAGTAGAAATGATTTAGGTGTCATTCCAAACATGACATACCTACATGTTCTTATAACACATACTGTAGACATGAAGGCTACATCTACACTAGCATGATTTTCCAGAAATGCTTTTAATGGAAAAGTTTTCCGTTAAAAGCATTTTCGGAAAAGCGTGTCTAGATTGGCAGGACGCTTTTCCGCAAAAGCACTTTTTGTGGAAAAGCGTCCATGACCTATCTAGATGCGCTTTGCTGCAAAAAAGCCCCGATCGCCATTTTTGCGATCGGGGCTTTTTTGCAGAAAACAAATCTCAGCTGTCTACACTGTCCCTTTTGCGCAAAAGTTTTTC